TTTTTTTTTTTTTGAAAATTTTCATTATTTTCCACCGACCTTGATATCAACATATCCATCAATGAAAGAACCAGAAAGGTGGAGGACAAATTGCTAATAACGCACATGGATGCATATTACTGCTGGATGCTTGCTCAATTCGAAGACATTTTTGAGGCGAAATCATCGCCTTTTTTACACTTGATAGTTAAATTATAACAGTGTATTGATATGAATAAATTTAATAGCTACCCAAGTAATACTTGTATAACCTCGGTTGAATTAGTTTACATTTTTAAACGACTTTCATCGATTGGATATGATCTGCTACAGTTTCTGAATTCTGTCAGAAACAGGCCGTTTATCCGTAAAAAAATTCTTGATGAGATTGGAGATTTCCACGTTTGTTAAACGCAAAATCGTGCGAGAGTTGAACATATTCTGCACCAAATGTAGGAAAGCCGATTGTCCCTTCATTCAAGACTGCTTCAATTTCAATGCTAAATTTGCTAAATTTACCGTCAAAGAAGTGTCTGGGATGGGGGGGGGGGCTTGGGATTTGAAATGATTTCTCCTTTTTTCGATCTTCTGCTTTGACTATGACAAGTATATTTGTTCTGCACAACAAACGTATATAAGAATACTTATGCAACTATGGTCTGTTTTACCAAATAACTAACGACTATCAGAAAAATGTATTTTATGATTACATGTAACTTAATTACTTTTCTTCTTTACATTAATTTTTTGAAAATAAAATTTATTTTTACAACAATTTTGAAATATCGAAATTTTTATGCAAGCAACACTATTTAACAATATGACTACGTGTAATTAAAGAAATGTTGTGTTCTGCAATTACACGTAAGCTGTGTGTTTCTTTTATATTCCTTATATTTCAGATAGTTCATACGCCATTCTTTAGATTTGCCTAAAGATTTCGATTAACCCTGCTTACAATCAGCAAAAAATTTTGAACAGAATAATGAATCAAATTTGTAAAATTAGGCCCATCAGATTTTCATATCATGGCATTAAACAGGACATATATGACTTTTAAATTCTTAAAATGGGACATATATGACTTTTAAATTCTTAAAATTACTGGTTGAGTTTCATGACTTATATGTTGTCGAGCGTTTCAGTCCAATATCCATAGTAAGGAAATTCATTTGGGGTGGTGGAAAGCGGGGGGGGGGGGGGTTATCAAACAGAAATTCTTTGACAAGCTAAAAAAAGTACGCAGGCGCTCTTTATGTTCATGGGGGGGGGGGGGCTAATTTAAAGTAACTATGTTTTATATTGTACTAGCTATGTTTCCCACAGTCTACTATATATCGGTAAAGTTAGGGGTGCGTTACGGCCGCCAATCCCCCCCCCCCGGTTTCTATGGCCATGACGTAGACCAACTTCACATGCACACCTTTACATCAAACAATTTTCTCAATGACTGAATGTTCCAAAAACAATTTATGTTACATATGATTATATTCATTAATTTCACCAACCCCTACCCCCACCTCTCCAAATATTTGTAACACATGTGCGCATCGTTTGCTTAGCCCCCCCCCTCTCCCCCGCGATATTCGGCTAGATCTACTTCTGTAAGAAACATCTCATTTGAAATTATGTGTCAAAATTATGAAAATATCTCTTTTTTTCTGCACTTGAAATTCTCAGTTAAAATGTGCTTTGTTTGAATTCGTCTCTCTGCAAAAATGAGATTATACATTGTATATAATTTATTGAGCTTCGATCTCTAGTAAATATTATATTATAGGCCTAAACATTTTAAAAAATACTGGTAACGCAGTTTTTTTTTTTTTTTTTTTTTGTATCCCAGCGGATCGAATAGACATACAGAATAGTCTTATTTATTTTGTCCAAAAAAATTCTAGGCGAAAAGTGTGGGGTTTATTTAGATGACGTTTTCCTATTTTTATAGCAAAAGGAAGAAGCGTTTTACATAAAATACTAGTTGAATTTTTAACTAGAATACTTTTTAATTATGTTATTCTCTCTTCTAAATGAGAGATTTATAAGTTGTAATTTAAACAGCAGGAAGAAAAAAAATCAGCTCATTATTGCGTTTGAAATGTTCTTTTTTTAAATACTCTTGTACATTATGATTTTTATTACTTTGACAAATTACGCGGACTTTTTCTAACGACTGTGACGTAATATTAGCAAAGGAGCTGACGTCATTAACTCAGAAGTTGAAATTCCTTTTGTTCGTTATTTAGTAATTTATAAAATTATTACAATAAAGAATTTATCTTTAGGATGTTGCTTACAATTAGAAAAGAAATATTCAATGCACTCTGTTTCTTGTAAGAAAAAGTTCTGGCGTATCAACTGCACATTTTTGACACAGTTCTGGCAGTAAGAGGGTTAAAAATATCGCAGAGGAAATTGTTTTCCTCGGTAAGATCTTCTCTAGCATTTTCAACTCTTACATCGACCATGTAAACATTGAATCGTCGGCACATTATTGCGTAAACATTTATAATTGTTGTGGTAAAATGTTTTATTCGTCGTATTTGGTAAAAAATTGAAACTGAACACACTTCTTCTGACAGAAAAGAAAAGTTTCTTTTTGCAAGTTTTCACAAATCTAGCAAAAAATACGCGTGTAAGAATGACAGATGAAACTAAGAGAGGTTAATTCTGACAATCGAGGTACTACGGAGGTACCAGGTATACCAGAGAGGGAAAATTGTTTTGAGCATATTACATTTTTGAAAAAAAAATTTCAACTCATCCTGCTCACGGGAATATATTTAAAAAATGAATTTGATTTTTTAAAATTCACAAGGACATAAACAAAGCCGTTTCACCTCAGCATATTTCATGAATCGCGTGAGCATGAAGCGCAAATTTATAAATGTCATTCAACGATTATTTTTGAAACAAAACAGTTTGCACTATAGTTTTGACGTCAAGTGTGGCATTATGACGTCACAATGGAGATATGTAGGCTTACCTAGTTCATGAAAAAATGAATTGTTTTCTAACTTGCAACGAATCTGAAGGGAAAATATTTGCAAAATGTAAATATTAAATAGCAAATCATGAAATTTGTCAAATAAGATAATAGTTAGGATTTTTATATACGGTATATATTGCAGGTACAAGTTCTCTGAAATAACCTATTCATTCAATGTGTTCAAGTGACTCACCCCCCCCCCCTTTCCGATTCCAAGTCACAGTGCAGAGAACTCGATGAGTGTTCAGAGCATGAACAATTTTGCCCTTAGACCACTGTGCACTGGTTTAGAATGTATATACATGTACTTATGTTGATATAATAACGGAATGAATATTTTGGAGATGGGGAAATAAAAAAAATATGCATATTGTTGTTTTTTGTGTACATTATTTTATATCATTCTGCTATCATTCTGCTCTACGCATAAAATGAGCAACCACTACAAGATTTTCAGGAAAAAATATTTATTAATCTATACGTATTTTCTATAGTTTTTAACAGATTATGCATATTTAAGGTTCAGCAACAAACCATCAGATTAAAATTTATCAAATCTTTTAATATTTTAGGAAAGGGGGGGGTATTGAAATGCATGTAGCTTAAAAAAGAATGTGATGACCCCACTTCATATTTTAAACATAAGTCACTTATAATAATTGTTACAAAATATATTAATTTTGGGAAAATTCATTGGGCAATTTTTTGTCAAGACGTTGAAAACTGCTCTTGGGGTGAAAATATTACTGCAAATTTACAATGACTACTCCCCAAAGCAACTGGGGCATTAGTACATCTATCAATAGTTTCCGATACAATTTTTATTTCCGATGAATATAAAGCATGTTATTTAATATCTGGTGAAAATTATTTAATTTGTTTCAATTTTGATACCTGTATGGCATAATTAAAAATTCACTACATAAATATCAACATATTGAAAAACGGTGGTTACCATGGCAACCATATCTTCCTTATAACCCTGATGACCATGGTTGAAATTTTCATATGATGATACCATTAACGTAAGGCAAATTATATGTAAAAATGAGAAAAATTCATTGAGCGGATTTTTTTCATGTACCCTTGCAATCTCGCATATCTCGAATTTTTTCCTCAGTCCCACCGAGCTCGATCGAGATAACAAGGTTTGACAGTATATATATATATATATATATATATATATATATATATATATATATATATATATATATATATATATATATATATAGTATTATATATATAGTATTTGTACGTTCGTAAATCTTTTCGTAATGCTATTGTTAAGATAATAAAGATGGGCGAACATAGCGTGCAGAAAGCCTATAGCTTCAGAAATATAAAAATCATGTTCAGTTTGTGAATGTAATATTTAGAGTAAAGTTCTCATTATTCAAATTTATGAAATTGTGATAAACAAAATTTTTCTGAGGAAAATTTTTTCGGCAAAATTTATTCTTTTATTAAAAAAATTAATGTGGTATTCATGGGGTTCGAACCTTAGCAATAAAAATACTGAAGTATCATTTTCTTTCGAGACTAGCACGCTAACCAATAGACTACACAAGTCCTGATGAACAGTGGCATTTAAATCATGTTTGTGATATGACCCTTGACTTCATGGACTTCTAGTATTTCTCGAAAAGATGCGAATGTTATGTCATAAAAGTATATTTTTAAGGTATAGTGGGTCATTGCTCCATATTTTTGGTAACCAAAAAATGTATATTTTTATGTAAACTTTAAGGATTAACTTTCGAAATGGTGGAGCGAAGACCCACTCATATCGAAAAATAGTGTTATAGTATGAGAAAATGACTCTTTTTGCCCGCTTTAGTGTGTGTCTAATATTTACAGGCAAATAATTTCAATCTTTGAGGGATTTTTGCAAATTGTAGAGATTTTACATAAAGTATATTTTAATGTTAGAGGAAATATCAAGGGAAATTTTGATATAATTGAAATTTAATTTTTCATCTTCATGTTTGTCACACTATAGGCTTATCGCTCGTCATGTTCACCCATCTCCTTTATGAAGATCTAGCGTTTTGAAAGTCTTATTTTAAAGGCTTGTGGCATGTGGGTTAATCCAAAGGTTCCCTCCAGAGGAGGCAAACACTCGGAATTCTCTGGTTTTATCTCAAACTTTTGTAGAAATCTGGTGAAGAATAAGAATAGCTCCATTTTGGCAAGCGATTCTCCTAAACACACCCTGCGTCCTATAAAAGAAAATTAAGGAAGTGTTTAGTTACACAGAATTTAGTGTATGTTCTAGTAATTTCTGAACAGATTTTCGGAATTTTGATTGAAATAATGACTTATTACGTGTTTCTAATATGATCATAACTCTGTACCCATTGAAAACGGTATCAGTCTATTTTTCTGTTCTCCTTGACATTTCCCACTTTCGTCTAAAAACCTCTCTGGTTTTAATTTTGAAGGCTCGGGGAAAATTTCAGGATCCGACAATACAGAATCTAAAACGCAAAATACAATGACCCCTTTTGGAAAGAGATGTCCATTGTACACAAAATCCTCATTAGATGCATGGGGCAAACTCAATGGAAGTATGTTTGCCAGGCGTTGAATTTCAAGAATGAACGCATCCACCATTGGCAGTTGTTCCCTGTGTTCCATCCTAGGCTGGCCTTGACCGATTACTTCATCGATGTCTTTCTGGAGCCTTTTCTGCCAATGTGGATAATGAATCAAGTATAGAAGCGCCCATCTAAGTGTTGTGGAAGTAGTTTCAGTGCCAGCAGCAAAGAAGTCTCGTACACTGACGATAAGTTGTTCATCTGTCAAAAGTGAAACGCATCATGGAAAAGCAATCCCGTCTAAATAATAGATTTTCTATTATACTACATACATGTAATGTACTACAGTACGGAAACCAAAAGTTGTGCTCACACTTCAACTTTAATCTCATGGAAAACAACCCTACCTCTAAACCAAACTTGAAGTTTCTTATGTGTATGGTTCACAACTTTATATAGTATTTTCAACTTACTAAACTTTCCTCCAAAACAATTTCAGACCTATTCCAACTTCATTAGTAACTTTCAAAACTTTTATAAATGTAAAAAAAATTTGACTGAAATTTTGTCTAAAGGCAAAAATGGCTTTAATTTTCTCGCATAGATGTAAACTTCGGTGATCATTCTTAACAAAGTTTAAATAACGCGTAATAGTGTTCATTTTGGAGGATGAGTAGTTTCAATTTGATTGCCATTTTATTACCTGTAAATGTCGTGTTAATTTCATTTCCTCTTTGTTTTTGTTCCAGAAGGTAAGCATCGATGTAGTCTTTGATGTTGTTCTCATCGAAATTTACTTTGTGCTCTTCTACCATTTCTGTGACAAATGCAGTCATGGCATTACTGCTCTCCATTGCTGTGCGAGTCCTTCTTGTTTGGAAATGGCGAAGCCAAGGAAAAAGAAAGCGGATTGAAGAAGCACTTGCAGTAGAGGCTACTTTATTTATCAGATAAATTAATCGCTTAAATTTTGCATCCTCGTAATTAAATCTTTTACCGAATAAAAGTGAGCAAATAACGTTAGACACCGAGCTGTTTAGAATGCTTTGTATATCGAAAGCCTCCTGTTCATATTTTTCTAATTCGTCCATTAAACAATCTACTTCATCCATGATCTGGCTTTCCAGACAACGTCTCCCGAATCCAAACTTGCGCATCGTTGTCAGAGCAAACGTTCGGTGTTCCTTCCATAATGGACCAGTTGACCAAAGCAATCCTATAAAGCAAAATAAGTCACACACAAATTACATTTAATGTTGTGCTGATTCACATGTTTAGTGATAGAATATGTTTTGTTTTTACTATGGTTAAACTTTCATTACGTACTGTACATTATGTTCAACAAAAAACAAACCTTTCCCCTTTGCAACAGCTACAGAAGGAAGAATTTTGGGTCGCTCTGAAAACACATCGCCATGTTTTACCAGAATTTCTCTTATATGGTGATATCCATGGACAATTATCATGGGTTTGTAGAAAAACATTAAAGAGTATATGTCTCCATAAATCTTCTTCAGACTTCTGTGAGCTTTCAAAGCTTCTGAAGGTTTGAAGAGTCCCACGTTGCCGATGATTGGGTAGCCTCTCGGACCTGGTGGAAGACATTTTGGTCGTCTGGACAGACCACAAATTAAACAGACCAAAACAACAATAATGGCCACAGTAACCCACATAATGCAAAATATTTTTTTTTTCAAATCTAATGAACTGGTATTATCTCATCCAAGTTCTCAATTAAATTCGCACCTTCTAAAGAGAAGTATTTTTTCCATCAACTTAAATACTTTTTAATACAATGTTTGCAAACGATATCTAACCTAAAACGTTCCAGCTTGTCACCTTAAACGTTCTAGTTTTTCAACCTACTTTCGATATGACACTGAGGACTAACTGATGAAAGAAGACCATAAATATTCATATATTTCGCTGTCTTTACTGAATGACCTACAGACGTGCCAATTTCACTTTACCCCTGTGTCTTGTTATTTTTCTGTGTTATATGTTATAGTTACACTATAGATATTAATTGGTTAGCTGTAAATACACTCAGTTTTTCATTCACGAGGGGCGGAGCTCCGAGTGAATAAAAACTGTGAGTGTATTTACAGCTAACCAATTAATATCTATTGTGTAAGTTACTTGTACCAGAGGACCAATGAGAGAAAAGCGAGTTGATAAATAGCACCGCCTACTACGAGGTGTCAAGACACGGTCCGGAGTCTGTATAAATAGCTGTCTCCATCTGCAAGGATCATATTTTACTGCGGCACTGCTACTACAAGTTGTTGGTAAAAAAATCGGAATTGGTACGTGTGAAGATATTGTACCTTTGAAATGTTGAAGACGCAGAAAACATGATTTTTGTCAGGTACAGGTATAGGGGTAGCGATTGTAGGCTTTTATGTTCAAGCCGTCAACTCTGAAAGAAAATTTATCTTTCTAGATCGTGTTTTTTTTTTTTTTTGAAAAAAAGGGGGATGGATATGGGAAACATCGGCATTGAACTTTTTCTTTATGGCAATAGGCGTACAGAAAAAAATGAAATGATTTGTGACATTTTAGTGAAAGTTTGAAATGGTATTGGAAGTAAAAAAAATGCGGGGACTTCTGATGTGAAATTGCTATATGTATTTGGAGACGGGAAAGAAAATGACGAGAATTCGAGATAGGACGTATCATTTACTGCTTAAGGATACGCGGAGAAAACATACAGAACCATTTATGAAGCGGACACCGACAAGCTAAATAATGTTAGTATTTTTGAAATTTAAAATGTTGACTTAATTCATTCATCAGCCATTGCCTTGGTCTTGAAATTGACATCATTCATTCATTAGTCAAGGTCTTGACACAGTATGGCTTGATGCCAAAAGGTGGGCGTGACTTTAAAAAACTGTGATTCTTCTGGCAAATACACCACAGCAACAAGAAAGCAAAATCTAAATTTACCGCCAGTCCTATGGTACAAATACATTTAAATATCGTTATAACACCAAATTGGATTTAATTCGCATTATCTTGTTTGCTATCAATAAACTCGGTCATGTTTTTTTTCTATATATCATGTAACGACAATACAGACAATAAAGAAAAATTAGATGCGCATTTCGTATTTCATCACCAATACCAATCGTAACTAAATAATATACCAACGTAATATATACAATATCCCTTTAAAATACCAATTGACTTTAAATTATTGTATGTTTTATCGAAAAATAACCATTTGAAGTTGTTAGGCCATTACCTTTACCTTGAAAGATTGTAAGAGTTACTAATTAACATCGGAGATTCTGAAATCTTACTTTGCTCAACAACCCCAAAAATGCACCCAAAAATTCATCATCACTGACACAAGATGTTGCTTCAGATTCAACCTAAACCTCGCCATATTTCTGATGCATGTTCTTGTGTTAGAGGAAATTCAAAGACACCCTATATATAAACATGTACATTAGCTTCATAAAAATATTAAGGTTGTTCCATACTCGAATGACTACATTTTTTTTTTACAATGAATTGAAAATGTACCGGTATATAATGATTATAATTAGAGATTAATTTAACATAATTGTAGATCTTCTGCATTGGTAGCATGTCTAAAAAGCTTTTATTTCGATTACATCTGCATTACAAAATGTAGCTTATATACATACATCGTACACAGGCCTTTGGATCGCTTAAATTCGACTTAAAAAATTGGGGTGTATAAAAAAAGATACCCTTTAATTTTTTTTAAAGCAATCTAAGGGCCTGTGCATTGTAAAATATATTGTAGATTCATGCAAGTGATATACAATTATTCAAGAAGAGGTATTCTTTGTTAAATTATACTAAAAAAACAAAGGACCCCCCACCCCACTCCCGATTTACTATTCTGAACTATTATATTGCTGATAAATAGACGTTCAATTCAGTTAATCAAAACGCTTTTATTCAGTGGTAGGCTATAGGAGTTGTGGATACTAGCTGGGTATCCCCAAGTGCTATGGACAATGGAAGGATGTTCAGATATATATATTGACGGACATCCCCATTACTATAAACAGCCCACTTTATAAGTGGAGGGTATAATAAGAGTTTACATGTGTAAGATATAACAACAATGACCTTTATAATACAATGTTACATCATTGAGCAGTTACTATTTAACATTTTTTGAATAATAACAAAGTGTTGTACTTGTTACACATTTTTTAAAAATAATTTTGTTTTATACATGATGCATTCCAATTTTAAAACAAAGTTTAAAACAATGCCATTTTTACAAACAACAGGTAATTTTAAAATTTTACATGGATATGATTATCACACTGAGGCATTGTCTCATATCAAATGAATATTAAGACACTTTATCTATAATAAATTTATCAACAAATGACTATAGTTACACATTAAAATATAAGATCGGAATGAAGTCTTACATTAGTCAACTTAAAATCCATACAGTAGTTTGACCTGGATGTAGCTCTATAGGGTCATACTCACTAGCTGCTTATCACAAAAACAGTTACTTGGGTGCAGCATCTGATGCAAGGCTGACAAGAAGAATCCTTGTGCAAGTTTGTTAAGTAACAAGGGCTTCCACTAACAAGGAAATGGTTCTGCTCCAGAAACATCAAGTCATTTGAAGCTAGTCTGGTTGTAATCATCCCTTGATGCATCATTTATTCAAGTTTGATCCAATTAGCATCTACCAGACGTACCAGTACTTGGGACTGGACTTGCAGCAAATGTCTTGCATCACTTATATGCAAACTGCAGTAATGTACAGCATCCAAAGCAAGTCTGATGTCCCCTAGCTCTTCCTCAGCTGTATCACTCATGCTGAGCAGAAAATACAGGCATACAGGAATGGGAGAGGACATGCCCCCAATAAATTTTGCAAGTATTCATATATTTACTATAGAAAGCAAAGCTAATTTGCAGCTGTGCCCCCTTCTCATGATTTTGCCAGTGTATATATTCTACATTAGAAAACAAACAAAGCTAGTTTATGGTTATGCACCCTAAAAAAACCTCTGATGACCTTTTCTCTTTGCTTGCATTACCCTGGTTCATCAGATGAGACTGTATACACAGAGGTCTCATATTGCAGTAGATGCTGGCATGAAAAAGATGTTTCATTGCTCAATGGCTATAAATGCCTAGTACAGATCTAAATTTGTAGCCCTCCACCGGCAATTGGTGGCTTTCTAAAATGAGTGAAAAATTCTCAATAGGACAAAAAGCAAACAAACAAAATCAATGAGTTACAAAGCTTGTATAATGACATTACTGATGGAAACAAACACACACACACACCCTCACAAAGACAGATTAGGAATCAGGGGATAAAGTCAGTCCTTAGATCACAAATAATAACGAAAGTCAACCGAGTAACATGAAAATAGAGAAAAAATAAACAATCTGTCTATTCATCCTCTCAAAAAGCACATATTGGGCTATATAAGTTCCCCAAGGAGATAATATGAAAAAAATATTCATATTATTACATATTTTGATATTATACTTTCATATAAATTAGTTGAATCTGATTCGTCGAGAAACATTTGTTAAAATACACTATTACCTGCTGAATGATGAAGCCACACCTTGCAGCATAGCAACAGTCAAGATTGCTTGACGACAGGTGATATTCCAAAAAATAGTGACTGCGCAGAATTTATGCGCACAAGGTTCACTGTTATAATGTACTTGTATAAAACATTCAGTATAATATAATAAATATTGCATGTAGTTGAGTGTAACATTGAAAATTTTCACCCCTCGAAAACCATTGTCAACTAAGGCGCATGTATTTTCAATGCAATACATAGAGTGAACCTGGGCAATAACAGTGCCATATAAGCCCTCACTGTAATGGGACTACTACAGCATCATGTAATGTGACAAATATAATCATCCAAGCATAGGCAATTACTATATGCCATATGTTCAAAATTCAGAGATTCCATTTATTTGTGAAACACTGATGCCTCCATATGGCAGGTCATGGCCAAGGTTTGTTTTTAAAAGTAGGTCAAACTCAAAGGTCAAGAATGTTGGTACATGTAACTAATGAAAGGTCTTGGTCACAAGGAATACACATGTGAAATATAAAAGCACTAGCACCAACCATACAAAAGTTAAGACCAAGGTTAAAGTTTTGTAAAATTTTGCAAAAGCAAAATGACTCTCTGAAATTTTCTAATGCACCGTCTCTGAGCAGGGGCGTGAGATTCTGTTCTACATGAATCTGTTGTAAATAAATGGCAGCAAGAAAACCTTTGTTTGAAGAAATTTATTGTTCGTATCTTGAACTGCAATTATGTAATACTGAGAATATATGATGTTCAATGATATTTTATTTAATAAAAACAAATCTTGTAAAGGTCTCCAGCAGGATAAATTCATTCCATGCTACGTCTTGCCCAATACAGATTTCCATTTCACACCTCGGATGCCTCCATATTACTTATTTGGACCAGAACTAACTTTATAACTGTTAGTATTCAGTCAATTACCTATTTATTATTTAAGGAATGATTTTAATAGCTACCCATTTTATATGGTATAAACTGGGTTGGGGCAGTTTACGCTTTATAAACCGCGAAGCAGTTTATAAAAAAGCGTTAACTGTTCCAACCCAGTTTATACTGTATAAATTGGGTAGCTATTAAATTCATTCCTTAAAATTTAATTTTCATTCATTTGGTATAAGAAAAAAGGATGATTGTCCTTAAAAAAATGACTTCAATTTGTACAAAATTTGAATGTAACCTCAGGCGGATTGACACGTTTTTGACGCAAGTCATTGTGACGTAGGCAACCCATTTTATATGATATAAAGTAAATTTTTTATCCAATCAAATACAGCGTTACAACCAGAATTAAAGTATTCACTTTAAAAGCTCAATATAAGTACATGTAGAATATGAATTTCTTGTTCACAGACCACATACAAAAGGTTGGAGACATGCACACTGACAGATGGATGACAAACTTTGATAAGGAACTTACTTTTGATAAATAAGTATGATTCTTGTTCTGTATTACTTGTTCATGTTTGTATTTACATAAAAACTTGTGTCGAAATATTTTAAATGATAAAGTCTTAATGTAATGTTCTGTTATCTTTCTCGCTTATATATCTTCCTTGCAAATGTTAAAAACACAGATTCCGGCAAACTCCCTCTTTGGTTTTCAATCAAAGTTATAAGTTCTTTGTAGCTCTCTTCTTCGAATTCATGATAGAGTTCCTTCAGTTTTAAATCTTTATATAAATCTTTCACTCTCTGTACTTTATTTGGATCAGTATCTGCATAATTTTCCTGAAAAATACATTGAAGTATCTTTAAATATAAAAAGATGTTGACAAATTAATAGTTTTACTGAAGAATGTCCCTTTACTTGAGGACTTTAGAGGTGGTTTATTTTGCTATTTTTCCCTTTATGTATTAATTACATCTCACCATTAAAATTTTGCAAAGAGAAAATTAGATGTAACATATAAAAGACGCTCATGGGAATCAATGGTCCCTTGAAGTAGTGCTAATTGGGATAAACAGATTCATATTTGACAGTGAGCATGAATCTGCATAAAAAAACAAAAGGGAAAAAATATGAGTTTTGAAATTAGTTCATGTACAGCATTAAAGTATGGTCAGTATGCTGCCATGATTACAATAGTATATAACACTATTATAAGTGAAGTGAATCATGTAAACCACACACTTCAATGTGGTACATGTACATCTTAGAGGCAAAAGGGATAAGTGTGTTAGGCAGATTGATGTGACAAATTACAGAAAGAAACAGAATGGACAACTGTCCTAATAGGAATACCTCCAGGAGTCAAATAAAGAAAGAACATACTTTCTTTTTTGAGAAAGGGCATAACTTAAAAAAAAAAACTTTGCAATTTTGCTAGAAAATCATACTGCCAATACACATGGCCTGAATCCTGCCGCAATGTAATTGGTTGAAGTTTATACACCACTTGTCAAGAGCAACCTCTGTGCTGAGTATGAAAAATATGATCTTTCACAGTTCTATCTTTAAAGAGTCATGGCCAATAGAACATTTAACTTACAAGTCCTTGACCTTCTACAAATAGCCATGGCTAGGATCCTCCTGATGCTCCTCCAATACAAAGTTATTTTATATGTCTGAGACCTTTAGAATTCACTTCTGGCCTGGAGGTTATAAAACTTTTTGAGTACGTACTCTGTGATCAAGCTCGTACTGCATTATCTAAAACCACACTCACACTCAAATTTTTTATACAATTTAGAATGGAATTTTGAGCATGAGTATGGTTTTGGAGTACAGTGTATAAGTCTGAGCACGGAATACATACTCAAAAAGTTTTATAACCTCCAGGCCTGAACTTATCTAAATGACCTCTGTTTAAGGTCATGACATATCCTATAGTCACATTATCAACAATGTTGGCAAGTGGAACTTCTAAAGTTATTTCATTAAGAAATTATGCTGTGGGCAAGAATTTTACACTTCAAATCCAGTGACCTAGACGTTGTCCAAATTACCATGTCTTCCACATACCTCTAAAATCTTCCTCTGTAAAGGAGTTGCCTTTCTCAGAGCCTGTATCACTAACCAGCTACATTTATTTTCCTGAATATCAGTTCCTATTTTTCCTATAACCTCCGGATTGCCATAACAATCCAAGTAATCATCCTGAAAAAAGTAAACATTACTCTATGCATTAGAAATGTTTTAATCATGATTCTTTTATGGTCTTTTTTCCCTACATTTACTAGCAGTACCTGAGTTGGAAAATTGTTTAGAACCAGTGAGAAATTCAACAAAATCTAAAAATAATATTTGAATAGATGAAGATACAGATGGAGATATACCTGTACTTGGAAATATCTGCCCATATGCAGTAAAATGTGTTGTGCTCTCTGATGTGAATCTTCATCAGTTATCCCACTCTACAAATACCAAATGGTAATCTGGTATATTACTTTACAAATATCAAACAATAATCAGTTATAAACAACTCTACAAATACTACATGGTAATAAGCTAAACCATTCTATAAATAGCAAATGGTCATCAGTTATTCCACTCTACAAATACCAAATGGTCATCAGTTTTACCACTCTACAAATACCAAATATTGACCATCTAAACCACATACTCTAGTCTACAAATACTAGATGGTAACTATTTTTACCACTTTTCAAAAAATAAAATGGTAAACAGTTATACACTTTACAAATACCTAACCATAATCAGTTATAACACTAAAAAAATACCAAATGGTCATCACCTTTGTCACTCTACAAATACCAAATGGTAATCAGTTATACCACTTTACAAATGCAAAAATGGTAATCAATTATACTCCTTTACAAATACAAAGCGTTAATCAGTTCATCTTCGCTAGCCAAGGATTTCTGATATGCTACTCTCCTCATAAACCCTTGGCCTATGGTGCTGACAAAAGAAGGGATTGTTTTCGTCACATGATCACGATTCTTACAAGTACACACAGATTGCATCATCGACAGAAATAAAAAGTGTATTAAAAAAAATTAAATGTTTTTTAAAGAATAATTAACAAGAAGGTATTGAGTTATGTTAATTTGTTATTTTAACATGTTAAAGTGCAAATCTACATCTTCAGTACAGATTCTTAATCACATATTTTGCACATAGCTTAAGATATTGGATGACATCATAGCTATTCATAGAATGGCATGTTATATCACGGGTCGTTGTTTACTTGCGTTTTTCATTCCGGAGATTAAAGAGTAAAGATATATCCCGAACGCAGATATCGTCATTTACAAAAAATCAAATGATGATTGGTCGAACGATGTCAATCAACTCCAATCACAACTTGAGAAAAAAATCCAAACTTTTTTTTAACACCGTAGGCCAAGGGCTTATGAGGAGAGTAGCGTATCAGAAACCCTTGGCTAGCAAAGATGTAATCAGTTAAACATGTACTAGTCTACAAATACTAAATGGTAATCAGTTATATCACTCTTCAAACCAAATGGTTATCAGTTTTACCACTTTACAAATACCAAATGGTTATCAGTTAAACCCTTCTACAAATATGAAATAGTCATCAGTTGTACCACTTTACAAATCCCTTATGGTTATCAGTTACATGTATTCCACTTTACAAACCATACAAAACAGTAATACCACTTTACAAATACAAAATGGTAATCAGTTATAACACTATACAAATACTGAATGGCAATAAGTTATGCCACTCTTTCACAAATGGTCATCAGTTACATGTATACTTTTATTTACAATATGTGTATTCCCTACCATGTACATCGCCAGTGCCACAGGTAGATAGAAGGAGTAATAGCCAGTTTTCCACTTGACAATAGCATTGTATCGGTCTTCCGTGAAGTCTGTGAAATCTACTCTGCCACCAGAGGGAGCTGTGATCATATCCAGGCACTGACCCCTCACCGTCTGCATGGTTGTCTAGGAGAGAGAGAATACTTTCATTTTTATTCCCCCATATCGCAAATTCGTGTGTATAAAGTTTTTACCCCGTCCATCGGACTGTCCGCAAAAACTTCAACATTGCCCATAACTTTTGATTGTTTGGAGCTATGGCTTTCACATTTCATATGTGTATTCCTTGTGACAAGAAATTTCTTTGGGTACCATCATATTTGACCTTTTGACCTTGGAATTTAACCAAGTTTTGCAAAATTTTACCCAACTTTAACCTTGGCCATAACTTTTGAACAATTGGTGCTAGGGCTTTCATACTTCACATATGTAATCCTTGTCACAAGACTTTCCTTTGGATACCAACAACTTTGACCCTTTGACCTTGACCTAGGAGTTTGACCTACTTTTGAAAAACTTTAACCTTGGCCATAACTTTTGAACGGCTGGTGCTAGGGCTTTCATACTTCACATATATAATACTTTAGACAAGACCTGCCTTTGGATACCAACAACTTTAATCCTTTGACCTTGACATTTGACCTACTTTTGGAAAACCTTAACCTTGGCCATAACTTTTGAACAGTTGGTGCTAGGGCTTTCATATTTAACAAGTCTATTCCTTGTGACAAGACCTTCCTTTGAATACCAACAATTGTAATCCATCAACCTTGACATTGGAGTCTGACCTACTTTTGAAAAACTTTAACCTTGGCCATAACTTTTGAATGATTGGTGCTGCAGCTTTCATATTCCACAATGTGTATTTCTTGTGAGAAGGCCTTTCCTTGGGCACCATTAATTTTGACTTGACCTTGATGTTTGACTTACTTTTGAAAAACTGTAACTTTTTCCATATCTATTCAATGATTGCTGCTAGGGCTTTCACATGTCACAGGTATATTTCTTGAGACAAGACCTTACTTTGGGTACCAACATATTTGATTTGCATTTGAGAAAGTTTAACCTTTGCAATAAGTTGCCATACAGGGGCATCAGTGCTTCACAAACACATCTAGTTAAATATGTTGAAGTATTTCATCCTAGTAAATTTGAGTGGCTTATTTTATACATGTACCATATATGCATTAGTCATTGAGAGTTTATCAGGGTTCAGTCTGATTAAAATCAAACCTTCACTAGCTCCTTTTTATTTTGACAATCAAAATAAAAAGGAGCTAGTGAAGGTTTGATTTTAATCAGACTGATCAGGGCTGTGCAGAGATTTACTATCCTCAGTAATTCTATTACTATACATGTATATTCTCTGTTTCACTCTTGGGCTTAAGAGTGCATACAGATTTAGATGATAGTAATAATTATCATAGAACCCTGATACGACCATCCCAAGAGATAATTATACCTCACACCCTGACTTGTGGAGAGTTTAATGTTTTTACCCAGGCCATCTTCAAAAAATTGTTTGTTTGCCCTCTACTGACCGACTGGCTAAAAACGGTCCAACTCAAAACTTTTTTTAACCTCCAGGAAACAATGTATTTATTATAAATTTAACTTGAATATATTTTAAAAATTCAGAATTGATACTGAAATTTTCTGAGGAAAAAAAATTTTTCCCACCTACCTACCAACCCAATTTTTTACCCTGGGTCGGGAGAGGGCAAACAAACATTATTTTAAAGATGGCCTAAATTGTAATTTGAAATATATATAAATATGTAACATGAAGCATAAATGCTTGGAAAACTACAGGAACAGGCAGTAAACTCTGATTGTTAGTTTAGAAACCCACCTCGTGAAATAAGTCTACAATGTTGATGTAATATGGTTTGTCTCTGCAATATTTACGCATGATGTGGTAAACACAGGATTCTAAATAGAAAGCATCATTCACTGCTACTATCCCCACTCCATCCTAAAATGTACAGTCAACCACTTCAGTTAACATCAGTTTACATCTCCAATCAGATAGACAAAAGTTTTAACAAGGTTTTCAAAGAGTTACAGGATTCAAATATTTTGCTTTGCAGGAATATGTGATAGCTAGTGATTCACTAGAGTGAACTTGACATGTGAATGAATGACAAATTTTGTGTTTCTCAGCAATTCCCAACTTTCCAGCAGCTTTAGATCTTAACTTTTAGTATTTAATGAATGTTTGAGGTGTACTGTACCTTTTTGTACCAACATGGTTTTCCTCTCCTTGTTGTAGAGTTATCCATTATGTCATCTGCGACAAGGAAAAAGGCCTGAAGCTGAAATCATTCACAAGTGCTATAATGCTATATAGGATCTCCCTTGGTTTGTAATGATTTTTTTATCCATCAAGTTGTGTATTTTTATCCCTGAACCTTGGCATGGGGATAAAAACACAACTCACTGGATTAAAAAATCACATATATTAAACCACAAACCAGGGGAGATTCTTTTTGTCACATGTTTTACATGAAGCCATTTCATGTTTTACACTGTCTTATATTTATATGTAAATCCACAATATTTGACCTGATCAAATTCACGTAAAAACAATTGTGACATCACAACTGTGGATATGAAAACGATATCCTGTGAGCTATACCTACTGTATAAAGGAGTAAACATGTGATATATATTTACCATGAAATCACTAATTTTCTTGGTGGTTAAACAGGTCAAGGAAACTATTTTCTGTGACGTAATAAATTTACATGCTAAATGAGGCACCATCGTGACTGACAAACCGTCCAATCGGCTTAATGAGTTGCATTATGGGTTACTACAAAAAATACTACATGTACGTTTCGAAAAGGCCAGTTTTTCAAATCGCTTTCGGAAAGACATGATGCATTTATCCAAGCATTTAACACACTTAATACAATCTGTACATCATTATCTACGAACTCCATGCTCACATTTACATACAGATGTTTTACAATGGTAAAATGGCTGTTTTCTACACTCCATTGTACAAGTCCGTAAGTTTACAATTGTTTGGCTGCTTTTCCTGTGCTGTACTATCAGTGAATATGAATTTCATGTGACTATTCCGTGGTCCAAAATAATCGACTCTGAGGTGTACTCACATGTGGTCATTGTTTACAACGATATATATATGCTACTCAATACACGTTCTATGATCGATGTACATGAGAATTAATACTGTTTAAAATAAATGCTGTGCAGCAATAAACTTATGGGTTTTTTTTTTAATAAATGCATTAACTTTAAATTTCTAGTGAACAAATAACAAAGCAACAACGAATAACAGCAGTAGCATGGCAAAATTACGACTATCAAGTTATAAAAACTGGATTCTTATTTACTTTTGAAGACTTTGCGAGCGGTATTTCAACGTACTATTTAACACGGAAAATTGACTTTGTTTGTTAACGTGAGCATGGGTAATCTTAATTAGTACCTATTCTTCGTATTTTTCACAAAAACATTAAAAATAATTATTAGTTGACTTTCCCACAGTCATTTGAAATTGCGTCCTAAATTTGCCTGACCCAAGTGTTTGTAGTAAAATATAAACATGTAGTAGATCATCATGCTTTTCAGCTCATTCACTGGATTGGACGACTGTTGGCTGTAAGCACCGCTGTGCGCAATGACAACAATATCCATATAAGGTAGATTCCCCGACCTGTTAAATCTTTGTTGTTTTCAAGGTATGAAGAAACCAAAGAATTCATCTCTTCCACGAAATGTTACTTTCACATATAATTATAACAACTCACCGCTTCTTCAACCACAAAATCAAATCCCCATGAACCAATATTTTTTCCTCAAACCATGAAAATTTGACCCAAAGAAAATATATGATTTTACAGTATTGTAATATATTGTAATATATCACTTTATTTTATACGTAATATTGTGCGGTCGTCCAGTTCTCTTACTTGTTAAATCTATGTTCATCATGTGCCTGCCAGAAAAGTTGTTCATTTACGATTTTATTGAAAATAATATGTCAGCCTATCTTGATACGATTGTAGAAATAGCTATTGTCATCATATTTTACCTGTTGTTGCTTCATGTAAAGTCGTAGGATTTATAATATCAGGGATAAGAGGGTGGATTTTACATTTCATGTTTTGGTAGCCATCATACTTTACTCGGATCGTCACTTCCGGTTTAGTGACATATTTACTATAGTAATCTATGATTCAAGTTATGAATATTGGATCAGATTCTACATTTTAATTTGAGTTGTTGTGTATTTTGAGGCTATAAGTAGTCCTTTATTGTCAGCATTAACTTTATTATCAGTCAGCTTAATCGGAACTACATTTGTTTACGCTATCGTTGGTAGTTACGATATTCATACGCTACTTTGTTTAGTACCTATTGTACAACCTAGGAATGTTTTATAAACATTGAAGGTATTAATTTATTCGTCTAGTCAAGTTTATTTTATGTATTCTATTTCCAGTTGTTATTTTTACGTTGTTATTTTTGTTACGATATTGTACGGCAGCTTGTGTGGCAAAAGTAGTTCTGTGTGGGAACTTGTGTGGGAACTCAGCTTCCCGTACAAGCTGTTGATTGGTTGATAGTTCGTACGGCATATTTTCATTGGATAATTTGTGTCATGTGACAGGGGATAGGAGGTTATATAAGCAAGCGCGTACTACGTTACGACAGATTTCAGCTAGTTGTACGGCGGCAACATTTAAAAAGATAAAGAAGAAAGCTAAGACGGTGAGATACTTATAATGTAAATTACACGTAATTAGCCTAGTTAGAAATCTCCTACCACACTGGACGACCTAAACTTGTGTTTCTGAAGAATCAGCTATGTTTTCTTATGTTGTTACTTGTGTATTGCCTATATTGTTATGATAATGAGATGCTGTACGTACAATAAATGATAAGCATGACTGATCATCATCTTAAGTATTATTCCACTAAGTATCTACAGAGAGAAGAGCCTGGTCTATTTTACATGAGAACAAATTAAATTGGTGCATCCTGGTAAATAGATGATTTATTTAGATGATGAAGCAATGACCTGTATACATACTGAGGATTCAGAAATACTAGCCACCCCTTGGGTAGCTTACAAACTGGTGTCAGAAGTGGGATACTAAATTTTTTTAGTGTCCTGATACGAGCCCATGAGCCGTCCAGTGTGGTAGTTTAACAACATTAAAGTCTTAGAAGATAAGATGACATAGATTTAACAATAGATTCATTACTACTTATTTAAGACGACGAAAAAAAGAATTTAAGATGTCAGAATCCGGTGAGTCGGTTGATCATGAAGTCGAGGTACGCGTGCCTGAGTCGGTTACATTTGATGATGGTGGTCAAGGTGACACATATGATGAACGTCAGAAGTCGAGCAATGATGAAAGATTTTCTCCAAAAAGACACGAAGACAATCATGGTCCACCACCAAGCACCTATAGTGGTTTTTCTGGTAGACCTGCCCCTCAGCTGTTTTCAAGCCCTATCCAACCTGTGAATTACATGATGAAGCCAGAGTCCTATGATGGTACTGTAAGCTGGGAAGAGTATATTTCACACTTCAATGACTGTGCAGAACTAAGCCAGTGGACAGAGAGAGATAGAGTACTGTTTCTTGCTGCAAGCTTGAGAGGCCAAGCCAGGACATTTTACATGAGTTTATCTGTGATTGAAAGAAGATCCTTTGACGCCCTTATTAACAAGTTTAGTCAGCGGTTTGGAAATTCCAGACACCAGAACAAATGGTTAGCTAAGCTTGAATCACGCAGACGACAACAGGGTGAGAGTGCTGCTGCTCTAGGTGATGATATCCGACAGATGGTTCAAAAAGCCTACTGTAATTTAGATGAGCAAGCTCAAGAAATCTTAGCTTTAAATCACCTTTACAAGCTGGTAACTGTAGAGATGAAGTGCAGATGTATTGATAAAGATTGTCAGAGCATTTCAGAAGCTGCTGATATAATTGACAGATATGAAGCCATCCTTGGTGAAAACTATGACAAAAAGAAACAACATGCTAGAGCTGTTAAAACAAATGATGAGGAATTTAATGTTCCACAAGCTGTGCCAGTGATGAGTAAGTTAACATCTTCTACTGCGCCTAGAAGCAACTCTCCTGATTCATCTTCACTAATTCAAGAAATCAGTAGCAGATTGGACCGCCTGGAAAGAGCCAACAAGAAGTTTTCCCCTCAACTCTGTTTCCATTGCAGCTCACCTAAACATTTTATTAAAGACTGTCCTTATTTGGACAAACAAAGACCTGGGCAGAGAAGAAATCAAGATGTACTAAGGCGACAAAATTACCAACAGGGAAATGGGAGACCATCAGCCTTGTAGGTCGACAGCTGGTGGAGGAGCCAAGACCTAGTTCTGATGACTCTAGGGGGGTGGTTTTAAATAAAGAGAAAAATATCTCAGATAATGGTTTCCATATTACTGGAACACTGGGTGGGGTGGATGTTAATTTTTTACTAGACAGTGGTTCTACTGCATCACTTTTGTCACATGTGGAATTTCTGAAGATTCCGAAGGAGTCGTGTCCTGATCTTCAACCCTCAAACATGTGTGTGCAAGATTTGAATGGTCATACATTGTCGGTCCATGGTATTGGAAGATTTTACATTTCTCTAGAAGATGTTCCACATGCAGTTGACTTGTTGGTGGTTGACATGGATCTTCCTGCTATACTCGGACAAGACTTCCTCTTGCAGTATTGTCATCACATTAACTACAAAACAAAAACACTTCAGACCAAGAAGACAACTGTTCAATGCTGGATTGCCAATGATCAAGCAGCTACAAATGTGGAGGTCAAGAAAACAGTTTCCATACCTGCAAATTGTGGTGTCTGGGTTCCAGTAGCTTTGACCAGAAATGGTGACCTCACCGACATAGGCTTCCTAGAGCAACTTAACACCTTCAGTGATGACATACAAGTACTGGATGGTTTGATAGATACCCAGTCTGATCAGATACATGTAAACATTGTAAACTTTGGAGAAGAACCTGTAAAACTTCAAGCCAGAACTACAATTGGTAAATGCAGAAATGCATATTTACTGGATCAGGGTACCATACCACAGAGAGTCTTAGTTCTTAAGGATACCAAGGAAAATACAACTCTTGAAAAAGATTTACCAGAACATCTCCTTGACATGTTTGAAAGAAGTTCCATAAATCTAGACCAAGAACAGAAAGATGCTTTCTTCAAACTACTCTTACAGCACAAAGATGTATTCTCTAAGACACCAGATGATCTTGGCTGCACTGGTATAATAAAACACAAGATAGATACAGAAAA